CTTAGGAWGCTCTCCTGAGCACCAGAAGTGGACCCGTTTCATACTAGAAAAAAGTCACAGCTTCTCAAACTGCCACAGTGGCAAACAGAGTCCCACTCTGAGACAATGAAATAAAATGTAGCTCTGATCATATGTATTATTAATAGAATACAGCTCTATACATTATGCATTTCACATTTATGGTCGGTTTGAGACTCCTTCACTATATTTCATAAATACTTGCAGATAAATTGTGGATGTCTTTCAGTGCTGTTAACTGAAAAAGGTGAAGCAAAATATATTCTGAAAATATTTTTCAGAATTAGAGCACTATTTTATAAAGCAAAATGAAAACATGAAACACTAGGTTAAAAAAACACATTAAATAGCTATTGTTCTCCTGCTACCAGGTATGTTTTTCAGCCTAGGAGAATAGGCAGCTGGCAAGAGCAACTCCTTCACGTGTGACAGAGCAAATGTCACATCCTCCTACCCAGCTCTGCCAGTGGCTGTTACTGGCCCGTTACTTATGTAGCACTAGCAGAGCCAGCACTGAATGGTCCAGGTTTTGCTTCTACTAAATCCTGCTCAAGGCTGTTGCAGAGTGATGTGTTCTAACTGCTGTTGAAAAGGAGAGCCACTTCCCCAATCCCTTCAAGATAAATTAAGGAATGGGGACAGGAAGCGCTTTCCAACCTTCTGTTTTCTAGGTGCCTCTAGAAGAGCAGAAACTTGTTTTGTTGGCTCCACCTGTGAAGCAGTAGCAAGTCTTTTCACAAGCTCTGTGACAGTGGTAGAGGAAAAGCAGCTAACAGATTCCTTGGATCATATGCAGAAGTGCTCACCCTCTGCCAGTGAGATGATGCTAGATATATGTGCACTCTTATTTGTGAGACTTAATAACAGCACTAACAACAGGGTCTATATTCTGGAAAATGATAACAGCTCCCTTCTTAAAGCTTTATTATAGTTTCTTTTCTAGGTAAATAGTTGCTTTTGTTGTTCAAAACTTCTACAATATTAGCAAAAGGACAATGATAGACAGTTTACTACCCTTGAAATAGAGCTATGGCATACTCATAGTCAGAAATGATTTTTTTTAGTGTGTACAAACTAAGCATATACTGTGCAAATTCTTTATTGAAACAATGATCAATTTACAAGCTGGATCACATTTCATTTTGCCACGAGCATGAACTAGCCTGTTTGTGGTCTGTGGCTATGAACTGTAAAATCAGAGTAGATATTCAGATCAAAATACAGAAACTATGCTTCCCTAAAGAACACATTTATATTGGTCTTACATTTCTTGTGAAATTAAAAAAAGATTTCATAATTAATGAAATAAAACTAAAGATACTTTAGTGCAAGCATTTTCTTTGCATTTAAGAAGCTTTCAGCTGTCCCACAAAGTATGACATACTTGAGGCCAACACTTTAAATAGTGAACAGCCACATTATTACATGAGAACTTTAAAAATTCAACACTGTTTATTAATRCTTTTCATAATTAGTTGCTCTGAAGCAAATCGAAGGTCAGATAGCCCTGATTATACGTTACCGATACAGTACTTAGGTAACAGTACTGCAAGTTGAGGAACTGACATGGTATGTACATTTGAATAAAACAAACATTCATTGAMGAAAAATATCATTTGTCTACAAATACCATACTTTGCTTGTGATTATTACTTTTAAAGTTAATTTTTAAAATGCAGGAGCCAACAGCTACCAGGCCAATCTAATACCAATGAACCTGCATTAAAACACTGATCTATATTTTGTTTGAATTTAAAAATACAATCTCCAAAATGATTGAATGGTAGATTTAATCACAAGCATACTTAAATCAGAAAATGAAAAAGATCAGCAGTAAGTGCTGCTCAAAAAGAACATGGYGAGTCGATAGTACTACATTCAAGTGCTGTGGTTATTGTCCTAGATTTAGTGCAAAAAGAACAGCAAACGTATATATATAATATAAAAAAAATCCAGTACTGATTTCTTGTGTTGCAGAAATCAAGTCCCATTTCATGAACTTTCAACAAAAGTATATTAAATAACCTAACTATACTTTGCAAATGTCTTTTTCTTCCTGAAGATGGCTTGGTGTTTTTTATGCTTTTAGAAGGCAAATTCATCTGGACAGGATTTTCCATATCCAAGTCTTTTACGAACCACTACTGTTTGATGACGTAATAAAGCAGTACAACAAAAACTGTGCATAGTTCAAATATGTGAACTTATTACTCTGATGTCCCTGAAGTGCTTAAGGTGCATGAAAATCCACCACAAGGCGAATATTAATGTTTCCTTAGAACCACAATTAATTTTATATTTGCTAATTGTGTTCTTGCACCATGAAAGTTCTGGCACTGTCAAGAAATACTTCAAGACAAAATTATTTAGTTTATAAGCACACAGCCAGCAAAGGAAGAGAAAAGATGGATTTGTATCTTGCTTGCCAACCCTTTTGCATAATTCCTGCAAAAGTGATGACAGAAAACAGGTAAGAAGCTTTATACTTAGATGTATAACAAATCGATAAAGATATTGAAGACTGAGCAGCATAAAGGAAAATGGAATAAATATATAAAATAGAACCATTACACTCTATTTTTTGTTTAGATACAGTGCTGGTCAGTTTTTATTCCATTAAGTACCACAAAGCTAAATGCACAAAACCGTGTCCATTTTTCTGAACAGTGCAGGTTGCTAGAAAAAGACTTTGTATCGGACAAGTTAGACCTATCTTACCTGTAAAATCTAAGTTTTGAGTGACTCTAGCATCAGTAAAATCAAAGGAGAAGTTTCCCTTGACTTTGTGAGGCCAGTGGTTTCACACTATGCTTTTTAAAAAGCATCTGATCCAAAAAACTGCAGCTCAGAAATAGTTTGCAACATACTTTTGGGAGTACCTTATAAACATATTTCTTGGGGCCAGCCCTTTGGAAAAAAACATAATCTGTATCTTTAAGGAAGATGGAGATTACATGACAAAATTTACATAAGAGATACTAAATAAAACTATGGGAATTGTTTGCTTCCAAATGTTTATCACTAAATAAATGACAAACAGTTGGAGGGCAGCCTGAGAGCAGCAGTCAGGTTAAGAACTGCCTCGTGTCAATTACTGTACAAATACATGAAGAACACCAGTCTCTACTGGTGTTCTGTAAATAATAATAATAAAAACTAAAATATTGTATTATAATATGAAATATTTTTAAAGCATTAATTTAAATTGTCTTTAAATTTTAAAGTAGTTTTAAAGTTGTTCTGCTTTGACAGAGAATACGCTTGCTTATCTGATGTTTGGCTATCAGGCAGGTCACTTTAAAGTGACCCATGTTTGTAAATGCTGGACAGACAGGAAAATCAAGATGCTTCTTTACAGTAGATTAAGGCAAACTGAAAGAATTTAATGCAAGTTCCTGCTGTTTCTGCACTCATCCTTTTACATACCAAAAGCAAATGCAGTGACTTGAAGAAAAAATTGATGTGAACACTAAATAGAAAAGTGCTTTGGACTCAAACATGGAGTTCACAGCTTGGATCAGTAGTATTTTCAATCACTCTGGTCAGGAGCGGGGCTCTTCATGGCGTTCTCATCATCTACCCTGTGTTCTAGATTTATATTGCTTTACTCTAATTTTCAGCCATATTCTTAAAGAGCCTTTGCTTTGAATGTTTCCTTTGGACATGTGCAAAAACATGATATCAGACATCTGCCACAGTGGTGAGCACAGTCAAATGCTGGGCAGCTGGATGCTGTAATCTTCACAAGTTCATAGCCTCATTACAAATTCTAGGGTCAGTTACCAAAAATGTACTTTTTAAAGTAATCACAAAGAGGTAAATATGAAGCTTTCTTTGCATTACCTGCATAAGTCATGGATTGTTATATTATTCCAATGCTAGTGAAGCTCTGTACTTTAAAGTCCACACAGAACTCCCATTCATTATCATGGGATTTTAGACAGCTGCAACTACGAAGATTTTATCTTGCTTCAGTTAACCTGTGCAGTTAATATAACTGATCACCTCCAAAGGACATCTTGTATAGATGTGACTAATTCAAGAAAGCGGTTGGACAGCTGGCCATCCTCTTGTATAGATGTGACTAATTCAAGAAAGTGGCTGCACAACAGGCCATCCATCACTTCCCACAGATCCAACAAACCCTCTTTTTCCTCAATACATCAGACTCCAGATTTGCTCAGAGTATCTCTGTGTAGACACCATAGTCCTTCTTAGAAAACTACTAGGTGAAAATTTGTTCTCCAGTTTCAAACTGAGTGTGTGTCAGATAATGAAGTAGTTATTAATCCTGAACAAACTCCTCCTTTCTTTCCAGATTTACCCAGGAGAAGGTTCTTTTCATTGGCTGTCTACAATAGACATTATCACTTCCCTTCTGCTTTAGGTATTGATGTTCTCAATGCSACAATTGCTATGCTCATTAAAGCTTCACTGGGATAAGAGTCCCATGTACTCGAGCAGTGGACATCTTAACACAGCAAACAGTTTGTGCAGTCATMATTGTAGATACACAGGACACTTTCAGCTTGATCTTCAGAATATTGATCTGCACAAAACTGATAAGTTCAATAAAGAGTCTTCTGATACTTAGGAATCACTTGATTATTGGAGCTCACATAGTTCTTAATGAACCTGTGTATCTGTTAACGTAATATGTATTTCTACCCAACAACTACCGAACAATACATTTTGCACATTTATTACCGCTTTCCATATAAACTTCTGGCATAGCCAAAGACAGTCAAATATATGCAGAAAAACTTCAGAATCTCATGACTGCAGCTTTCTATCAGATTCAAAGGGCTTTCTTGTCTGTAAAATATGCACCCAAGTTGTTTTTTTATGTGAAAAAGAAATTGTTGGCATTTCATTCCATGGAAAAGGGTAAACTATTTCCCTTGTGCCTAAGCACCATGGTCTCAAATGAAATGGAAACATTTTAACTTTCTTTAATAGCTCTCTAAATCACAATGCAGCTCAGCAAAGAGGCTTTGTAAATGGGATCTATTAGGATTTTATTTGGCTAGTGAAGTGCTGCCTCTTGGGCAGTTTTTCAAATTCATGAGACAATATTTGCAAAAATGCAATAGTTGGAAATAATGAGAGCAGAGGAAAATTAAAACCAGTTTTATACTTATTAAGTTCGAGTGTCTTACATCAACACTACCGGTGACTGCCAGGCAGCCACTACAGGTGACAGCAACCTAGAAAATGCTGAGGTAAATGTTTCTTGGAAAAATTCCTAATCCAAAAGAGCAATYAATGTTAATGTAATAGCAATTATTCTGCCATACATCACGGTAAACTAAAGTCAAATTGAGAAGAAAGTGCCAAATAATCCACATACATGCTTTTGCTATGATAGTCTCCAGGTAAGGCTTAGCGGCAAGTACAATATGTATTTTTAAAAGAGCTCCTGATTTTCCTGCTATGCATAGATTCAAGAGTAACTATCATACATGGCTTTCATAGATAACACATGTACTTTTGTCATTTGACAATGCTGTGTCGTCAGAACTGAGTTCAGCTGAAGGCTCGGCGGGGGGCTCTGTAGGAAGTGCTGGTGCTTCTTCCTTGGGGTCCAGCTGCACGCTCTCTTGTGACTGGCCATCCACGCAGTCCTTTTTGGACAGCGGATGCACTGACACTTTTATTGCGATCTGCTGAGGTGGCTCATGCAGTGACGATGCATCTGAGTCAGCTGTGGGGGAGTCACTGCGCTTCAGCGCGTTGGGGATCATATACACCTCATCCGGCCCAGTGCTTTCCTGGCCTTCCGCTGTTTGCCGCACAAAATTCTGTCCTTGCTCCTCCAGACCCACAACCTCCATAATTTCTTCCATTATAGTCCTGCAGTTCATGATGAGAGGTGGCAAAGGTACGCTGCGAGCAAGCTCCTCAATATAGCGAGCAAATTCCATGGTCTTGAACTGAGTAACTTTGGCAAGCTCAAGTGTTTTGGCTGAAGTGATAATTGGGATACGCTTAGCAATCTCAAAGGCTTTCTGGAGTTTCTCTGCCCCTTCTGTTCTGAAAAAATCATTGATTGCTTTCTCCGTTTTCTTCAGGTGACTGCTCATCATACATAACCGGGTAATGTTCAAAATCATAACGATGGTAAAAGCTACAAGGCAGACAATCATGTAATAGATGCCCATGTCTCCAGAAGTAAAAACAACCCKCAGCGTCACGGTATTATTAACACTGCCAAACATGTTAGATGCAACACATGTGTATTTACCTCTGTCTCCAAAAGAGACGCTCGTAATGTTTAGTTGCCCGTTGTCAAGAAACCACCATTTTCCTGCTGGAAAGGAGACAGAATAGCTTAGAGTTATCTTGTTTATATAATCAGCACAGTCTTAATCATCAGCTTTGTCAAAGTAGCTTCAGATTTTGGAAAAAGGCWATCATGTTGATGAGAAGACCAACTGTTTACCATGACAACAGCTTGTCTGTCCCTGAGATCCTAGCTGGGTTACTATCACATCATTGGCATCAGCTTTGAATAATCAGATCATGCCCTGAAAATTTCATAAAAAATAGTTARTGTGTGTGATAGCTATCAAAATCCTCTAGTCAGTTAAGTTAAAAACCTGGCTACTTACCACAGCCAACCAGCCTCCTGAGCACATGCCACATCATTTATTAATATTGCCTACCCTCAGGGTGTTCATAATTTAATTCTGAAATATGACTTTAAAAAAGAGGGAAATGAGACAATAGGAGTAAGATGGATGGCAAACAAAAGGATCAAAGTATTTTAGACCTTCTGGATGTCCTAAGTCATTGTTTATTTTTCTGCCAACATTATGATTGCTGTATTCCTGTTTTCTCTTTTATGGCTCTGAGTCTTGATTCCTACAGGCAGTGTGAAATGTTACAGAGTGGGAGCTCAGAATTCTTCATCTATGTCTATGTGATTTTCTCCATGCCATTAGGGAAAATGGTAGATCTATAGCAATCACTTTGAAGTTACAGTTCATCACAGCTAGTGCAAATAGTAAGACACCCCAGCACAGCAAGCAAACATTCTTCAGTTACAATGGATAGTCTTATGTGCCAAGTATATGTTAAGCACTACTTTAGGCTTGGTTATTATTTATAAGACCAGTTATTGACTGTTCACAGTTTACCAAGCTCAGGCTTCCAGCACTGTTTATATGCTACATGTCTAAGTTTTAAGCCTTAACATCTGAGATCTTACTCGTACCTAGAAGGTTATTAAGAAGTCCATCTGATTACCGTGTGGCAACTTTACAGTGTGGATTCGGTTCCCCTGAGCATGTTGTATTAAGGGCACACTATGGCTGCAAACACAGCCGCTCAGTATTCCATGAATGCACGCGTTGTGTGTCACTGTTAACTCCGATTATGAATTACATACTGATCTTCTTATAAGATCCCTGCCTTAGCCCATGAATGCACAATTCATAATTACATCTTTTTAACATGGTCATTTAATGTGTGCTATCAAGCTTATTAGATTTTTTAACTTTACTAAAGCAGCCTATTTTGTCCCAGCCTAAAACTTGAAAACTGCTGAATCATTTTGCCTGAAATTAAAAAATAAAGAATAAATAAAAATTCTCACCACAGCAGACTTTCACATGGAAATTGACTCCAGTCTGATAAAGTTAGGCAAATTTAGAAGAAAAAATATCTTACAAATGTCAGCATTTCTAACAAATGACACTTTTTTTCTCCACCTCTAGAATGAAGTATAAATTATTGGTGCTAGGTATTCCTTTAAACTGCAGTGCTGGAAATGTAGGTCTTTATTTGTTGTAAAACGACAAGGCGCCTTGCTGATGTATCCTGGCTCCAGCTGTTAGCAATGACATAATGGCACGGAGCTGTGACTCACTGGCTGGTTCGGTGCCAGTGCATCACCACAGCAGATAGCGTAACCCTAATGAGGAAGCAGTGATCACAGATGTACCAGTGCTGGGCTTTGAAGACAATTCAGCACCATGTTCCAAATAACCAAATACATAAACTGCTGTGCTAGGAAGCATCCMTCACAGAGTCAGTTTCTTAAAGGAGGAAGTCTGAGTCAAAGTGTAATTTTTACACTTGTAATTTGGTCAGTGTTTTTGCTCATCTACCTGAATGTTTGTATTAGTAGCTACTTCTCTCAATTGACTACTCAAAGATGTAAAGTTAGATGCCTAAAATGAGTAAGCAGAAATACTTCTGTAGGTGAGCCCTGTGAAAAAACTTTGCCTTTTGCACTAACTCACACTCTTGCACTAACTGCAGTCTGCTGCTGTGACTGCACCAATTATACCTGAAAGTCTACTGGAGAGCTCAGGCAGTTCCTTTCTACGCTAGCTTTACAAAGAAAATGATTAAGCACTGAAATGTAAAATACCCCCAGTTATGCAGAAAGCTGGTGCAGGTGGGCTATACTGTAGCACATGTGGCTGGCTCCATATTACTTGGTCATACAAGAGCTCTCCCCCAGGTCAGCTATTAGTGAAACCAACTATTCTGCACTTCATATGAATAACTAAGAGCTTATTTCATCATGCCGCGAGCAAAGCTGTTCGTATGAAAGAATCGCCTGAGCAAAACACTTTCCAAGCCCCTCAAAGGATCCCTTAAAGTACAGCTAGGATTATCATCCAATTCAAATCTTCCACTTAAGGAAAAACAAGTTCATGTGGAATTAAGGTCTCTGGCACATAGAGCTTAGGAGTCTTAGTGCAGCCAGGATGGCTGTAACCTGGTTTGTTCTTCTAACTGCTGCCCCAAGTGAGCTTTTCTGTTGGCTATTCAGGGCATCTCCTGTATCTCACACTCCCATGACGCTGCAAATAAAACCAGGAAGGGATCTAGCTAGGTTGAACCCATGCCCACTAACTATTCCCATATGCCAAGAGAGTCCTTTCTTCAGCTGGCAAATAGCTTTTCAGTCTCTTTTGCTGGGAGAGAAGAACAAAAAGGAGAGATTGAGAAATGGGATCAAACCTGATCTAGTGACAAGAAGCTTTTCCCCCTTTTTGTCTACATCCTCTACCTTTTTGGTATGTGTTGCTATAAAATAATACATGATAAAAAAAGAATTGTTTTCCTCTAAGGTGTGCTCAAGAAATTTGTAGCTGCCAGGATCCCAGGTGGTTGCTTTCTTTCTGCTTCCACACAGGTAAACAACATAGGTCATAACATTCCTGTTTTTTGTCAATCTTTTGTAAACAAAACGTTCCTTGACAGGTTGAATGAAATCATTGTGAACACCGAGAATACTAAAATCTTACCTTTATTTTCTTCCTCATGTAGCAGGCGGCCATTGGAATTGTACCACCTGTAGCGTGGACTAGGATTTCCTTGGACATTGCAGTCGATCAAGGCACTGCTCCCCTCCCTGACTATGATATGGTCGATGCGGGAGGTGACCACAGGCACGGATCCCACATTCACATCAGTGCGGTTGAAAGTGCYGTTAGTCACATCTTCAGCAGTTGTCAGGGCTGCTAGTAAGATGACAAGGCGTGTGGTAGGCAGAAAGTACAAAAAGTGGTGGCTGTTCAGTATGTTCATTTTCCTTCAGAAGGCTACGCAGCTGGCTGGGAACTGGGATAGGTGACTGTTGAATGCAGGTCTTGGAGGTGAAGTCACGGGAGAGATTTACTTTGATCCATGCAGTTTTATGTTTAAAATATCCTATAAAATAAATAAGTAACTACAATGAGATGGCATATATAAACAATCCATTAGATGTGCTCTTCTAAAATAGAGACACATCCATTAATGCATTTCACAAGCATCTCAGTGTCTTATCTAAATGCTAATGTTATCATAGTCCTTATTCTTACTGGAAAAAGAGGCAAACATTTTCCTGACAATAGCATTGTACAGAGTGGCAGGCGTGGGAGAGGCTTTTATCACCTAGACACTTAGCTGCTGCTGTAGCTAAATTGCTGCTACCATTTTATTCCAAAAGTTCTACAACAGATTTTTTTTTTAACATTTGCAAAATCAACAGCAAAAAACAAAGGTACAGCCCATGAAAGCTGTCACTACCGGTTCAGTGCTGTGAGTCTGCCACATGCCTGCTCTTATCTGAGGTACAGAATATGGTGTCAAAAAGAACTACCCTGGGAAAGATTTTTGGAGCTGGTATTGGAACCCCTGATACACACATGTGTGAGCAAACACAACAGTACRTGCAGCAAAACCTCTCCAACCATTCACTTTTCTTAGGTTACTGATTTTTTAAAAATCTTTTGAGATAAACCTTAAGATGGAGGMATGTACTTCAATGAGGACATTTATTATTTTATAAAGTAATTTTCATGTCATTTTTAGAACAGGTTTAAGATGAAGAATGCTTGCTAGTATTTTTTCCCCACAATTAGATTTTTTTAACTACAATTTTTTATGGTTAAGGATTCATTGAGGTTCAAATGCATTTGGGACATTTCTGTTCCTTATATGGCATTAAGCATTTTTCCTGTAATCTTTGCACAGTCTGAGTACAACATTTTCCCTCAACTAGTCAACTACAATGAGCTCTTTTTTTAAATAGCAATTTTGGTTTGCAGACAGGGGARGGGGTTACAAATGGGCTCTCTATTGACCTTGTTATTGCCCCCACTGAACACAGCTGGCATTCATGTTGACTGATAGCAAAATGTTAGCCTTAAAATGAGAGTTTCAGAAATTCACACAGAGCATAAGTGCCACAAATTACTTTGAAATCATATCAGACTTTCTAACTGTATTGATTTTACTCATGTTTTTCAAAGAAAATGTTTGGAACTTAATGAAGTTTACTAGTTAGAAGGACCTACGTGGAATCCAAATATAAAAAACAGAAAGCATCTAACAAACTTTCTCCAAGTGAACATTCTGCTTTCYGAACAATTCAAAATTTATTTAAAGATCTGTTTGGCACTGTGGTGTCTCATCCATCATAGCATGAGAAAGTGACTGCTGACAAGGCTAGGCTGGTTCCATATAYTAAGGAAACACTAGAAGTAAAAAAATATCCCCCCCCCCCCTTTTTTTTTTCCTCTTCCATTTTCTTTTAGAAGGGAAGAAAATACATTACTATCCTTCACTGGTTGGCAGCTTTCCTCTCCACTCCCCATTCTTTATAAGGCAGTGAACTTGATTTCACACAAATAGATACTACTGTTATTAAAGGAGCAAAATATTTTCCTCCATTTTATAGAGTGAATCATCATGAGAAATGCCAAACCATGTTCTTTCACAGGAGCTGCATGCATGGTATTGRTGTCAGTCATAACGCCAAGCCTACCCTGATTTTTTTCTGTTTTTCTGATTATTATCTATGAAAAAGTTTGCCTTGAAGAGCTAGAGTCATTTTAAAGTTCATATGCATGTCTCATTTGTCAGAAAAAGCTATATAAGCAGTGACTTCAGAAAGCAATTTCCAATTTTTCAGAGCATATACAGCCAATGTTTTAAAAGTTCTCTATAGATACAGCCTACACTTTGGAAGATTTCCCTTAGCTCAAGGARTAACAGTTTAACACTCCTTCAGTCGTGCCTGTTCCCTTCAGTAACTATTTACATCTCGTTTCTGCTACTGCATTAACCTTGGAGACAGTCATTCTTTATGGCTATACCTATTCACCTTCTACAGTGTTTCTGTACAGCGTTATAGATCTGCATTGCGCCATAGAGAAAAGCCAAAAGACACGTCACACTTCCTGGCAAGAGAGCAGGAACAAAGACTGGCTGGATTAAGACAGTGGGAAGGGCAAAAGTACAACATAAATTAATCAAGGCTTGCATTGCTAGTTACTGGCTGTGGCTTATTATTGTATTAGAACCTAACATTTTTGATGGAGAAGAAAATCGGTAGCAGTCAGAAATGGTGTTTAGTGTGGAAAATAACTTGCATTTCTGAAAGAAATTAAACAGTATCACCCCACTGAGTGGGGGAATAGGAAGCCTCTGAGGAAGGGCAGCAGTGCATTGCGAGGCTCAGTTCACTTGGCAGACCACTGAACCTTACAGCATATGGATGCTGGGTGCCTGTGCCACAAATGCTTACATTTGTGTCTAACTGGGAGCATATGAAAGTAAAAATTATAATAACCAATCTGACTTGTGCTTAACATGGTCAAAGGGCCATTACTTGTCTGAAAATAGCAGTGACTCCTTTATTCTGGCACCATAGAAAAGTATCCTAAATAACTGCAGTAAAATTTAAGAAATAGAGTTTAATAATTCATGTCTACCGTGTAAGATTCATGCCTACTCATGTCAATCTTGGGAGTGTATGCCGCTGGAATGAAGAATATTGCAAAAATGCTAAGTACCTCTATAGATGCAYTGCAGCTAAAAATAAATACAGTTTGATGGCTGGTAAAGGGAATAACTAGGCAGTAGCTTTAAAGCAAGAACGGTCAGAAACAGTAGCTCCCACTTTAACACACTGTTTGGGGTAGTGCTCTTGATGGATATTTGCATGCATTCGAGGAGTCAGGGGCAAACCGCTCTGAAGAACAAGATTCACAGATAGGGGTTTGGACAAATGCTGTCAAGCACTGCAAAAGTTCTGAGGGTATCTTAAGAAGCAATAGGGAATCTTTCCTTTGATGTGATCCTACCTATGCAGTGCTAATGTGGAACAAAAACATGGAAGAAACCAAAGCATTCAGATCATCTTACAGTGCATAGACATCTTAGCCCCTCCAAGAAAGGACTTTCAGCTATGCACCCTGGAGATTTTGCTAATGTGTTGTGCAGGACCARAACTACTGTAGACAGGTTGAAAAAAGTGAGAAAAAAAAAAAAAAAGAATTTTGGGAATGGAAACTACGCCTTTTAGGAGTTTATTTCCTATTGCTTTACCTTAGTACAATAGCAGCCTGAGGATATCAGGGAAAACAATCTGGGAGTCAGCTGCTTTGTTAAACGTGAGGGATGCGATGGGTTATGATTCAGTTGCCCAACTAGAAGGGGAAAAGGCCAAGGAGACAAACCCACAAGTGCTAGTGTGTTACAACTGCTAAATGCCGTGATAGCCAACTCAAGAGTGTCCTCTGTGCATCTGTATGCAAATGAGCCTCCTGGAATATGCTCCATGAGGGCAGATAGAGGCCACTGTATTATTCCTAACTCTGCAGAAGAGGGAGAGCTGGAATTACTTCTCCATCCAGAACCTAGCATTGCCCTGAACAGAAGCTGCAGCATGGAGTGCTTGGGAAAGTAAYCAAGCAGAGACATGTTTTGACTGTTTGTTTTTTCATGTCGCACACCTTGCTTCCCAACATTACCAGCACTGAAGAAAAACGACTGGGCRCGAAGGAGCTGCATTTGTGAATACTGCTCTAGTGCAGAATGACRTGATGCCTTAGTGCAGGAGAACAGAGGAGGAGGGCACTGAGGCATACCTTTGCCCGGCTCACTTCGGCAAGACTGCCGTGCTCTTGTTCTTGGGATAATGTGCCATCCTACTCACCGTGATGTTGCTCAATTCAGCAGTGAAACACAAAAAGGCAACTCATTGTATAACACAAATTATATTCTTATAGTTTTAGCATCCTAGAGCTGTCTTGCTTTACTTGCAAGTGATCAAGAGTATGAAATGATTTCATTCTAGTTCTCACTAGTCTATTAAAGAAATGCTACCAAGAAAATTAAAGCTAACCCTTTATTATTTAAAATCTCCTCACTACCTTTTTCCTTCAAACCAATTCCAAGTTTCTGTGRGCAATATCTTCAGACAAAAGGGACCACGGCACAGATTAACAAGTTCTACTGGAACAGGAATTGAGAAGTTGGTAAGCTTACTTTCTAATTTATAGACTGAGAGTGAGAACCACTACGGAAAAGATTAAGGTATCACGGTTCAGACAGGTAGGTAGAGAGTGTCACTCCTTTGCACCTCGGAGCAACTTTCTGACTTCTAATTAAAAACAAATCTTCTGAAAAAGCTGCGCGGTTCTTTCTCTTTGGGGGTTCAGTTCTTTGGGCTTTCACTTCTTCAGAACTCCATTGCTTCCTGCCCTAGCTATGTTCAACAGGTGACACACTGGTAACATCTGCAGCAGCTCCCGACTTTGGGCATGTTTCAATCCTGTCGGCTACTTTCAGCTGCCTAGGAATCTTCCAGAAACTTCTCATTGAGCGTGTGTGACGTTGCACCTGGTCAGCCGTTCAGCCACTCAGTGTCACACTCACTGCCTGTAGCTACCTAACGGGAGGGCAGACAGAAGACAGATACAGGCTGTTCTCAGAGCTCTGCAACAAAGGACATGGAGTGCTTGTTGCGAAGAAATTTCTTATCATGAGGCTAGTCAAACCCTGGTCCAGGTTGCCCAGAGGGACTGTGGACTCTCTGTGGAATCTCCTTGGAGATTCAGAATTTGTTCAGGATTTGAGTAGACRTGACCTAAAGCAACCTCGTCTAGGTTGACCCTACTTCAAGCAAGGTTTTGGAACAATTGACTTCCAGATGTTGCTTCCAACCTAAAGTACTCTGTGTATAATAAAAACAAATACAGAAAATGCCTTGGAAAAGTCAATATGAAAATGTGACCAATGAATGCTAAGAAGTTGCCTTGATGATTCCCTTTATAATTCTTTTATTTTTGAGTACCAATATTTTACCATAAGGAGAGAGGTGTGAAGTGTTCCCTACAGCCTGAAAAACTGCCTTTGACATCCTGTCCTCCATGCTGTTA